CACACACACACACACACACACACACACACACACACACACACACACACACACACACACACACACACACACACACACACACACACACACACACACACACACACACACACACACACACACACACACACACACACATACACACACACAAATACATACAGACATACGGTCACCATCGCGAAAACATTCAGGGAAGCTTTCTAGGACCTCAAAACGTCAAGATCTGATGAGAACTCGATTTTCGAAAAACGGGGTAAAACTAATAACTTCCCGATTTTTGAAAATTTTCAATTTTCTTAGCGGGAAGTTAAAAATAGACAAAACTGTTGATTAGGATTTCAAACCGTAGAACTCTTGTAAGAACTTGATTTTCGAAAATTGGGGTGAACCCAATACTTTGTAATTTTTGAAAATTATTACTTTTCTTAACGAGAAGTTAGAATATTTTTTTTACCCTTTAAAAAAAAAAAAGGTATTTTAATGCAAGAATTTTTTTTTCACCTAATATTGTTTGAAGTTTGTATTAAACATTCTTCTGTAGCAACTAAGAATTTTAGATTAAAAAAAATTGTTTGATATTTTAAATTATGCAACAACAAAATATTTTTAAATCACACCTTTCAATTTTTCACAGGTAAAATCATCGATATTATAAATTCTTAAATGTTCTTTCAAAATATTTTCTAATTTTTTCCATTCTTTTTCTTTTCTTTTTATGTTAGCACTTAATTCATCTTCTTTTACCTTATCATCTGAATTTAATTTTTCAAGCATCATATCCGATATTTCATAATTGATTTCACTCATTTCTAAAAATATTTCTCTTAATAAAGTTTGAACACCTCGGCAAATAATGGATTTCCGATTTTTGTTTTTCTTTGAGAAATCACTGTAATCTATAAGTTTACCTCCAAGTTTCACAATCTTTTCCCATGTCATTCCGTAGATCAGAGTTGTCTTTTGGATAGCTAAAGTATGTATTCTCATTTTCTTAGCCAACTCAAAGCTCTCTTCCTTAGATTGTGGTTTTTCTTCTTCTTGAATTTTAATAAGAGTATTTCGTGCGTGGTGTAAGTAATAATATTGGACTGGTATTAATTTTAACTGTTCTTCCAAGTAATCCTTCTCTAAATCTGTTTTCTGCTTGTCGCTTGGAAAATTAATCCTTAATATATTTGCCAAATCGATTGGTACATCTCCATATAATTTTTTTTGCGTACTTTTTCCGTCTTTAATCGTACCCTTTATTTCTTTACTATTCATTTCTAGCAAATACATACATTCATTCAAAAATTCCTCAAATTCCTTATCATCATCAAATTGGGTACTTATAAGCTGCGTTTCTTTCCACAGAGTGCTACTCTCTTCTTCTTCATCCCGTGAAATTCGAGTTAATGTCGGAAATAACGGTTTTTTTAGCTTACTTTCAATTTTTTTCAGCAATATGGTGATGTTTGATTGATGATGTTTTAGTGGTTTAACTTTTTGCTTTTCATTTAAATTCAATTCTAGATTGAACAAAATGTTAATAATTTCAAGGGTTACTCGACACTCATCGGACAAAATGTGCAGAACATAGAAAATTGGTTTAAGATGTTGATTTTCAACTTCATCTTCTAGTATAGACTTTTTAGATGTTAAATATGTTTGGAACGCTTTATCCAATTTGGTAAGATCGTTGTCAAGTATATAATCTAGGATTGTATCGAACTCAAACTTCTTTGTAGATAACCGACCCATTTCAGAATTCAAACGGTATGCTGAGCGATTTTCCAACACTAGGAGATACAGTTGTACGTGAGGATGCATGACCTGATCATTCAATACATTTTTCAGCTTAGATGAAGCCTGTTTTTGAAGCTTCCAAGACTCTCCAATTTTTTGATATGATTTCAGGTCAGAACTGTCGGAATCATTTTGTTGCTCCAAATTAGAAGACGATACTGGATCTTTTTCCCGATCTAATTGTCGTTTTCGATTAGTGGCAGTAGAAGTAGTTGTTGTTTCTGTTGGTGCTGTTTTGGTTAAATTAGATGCTGTTGGAACCTGTTTTTGGAATTTCGGTTCTAGGCGAACAATAGGAGGTACCGAACTATCTCCGAATGAAGACAGTGAAGGTACAGACGTCAATTTTTTTGTGTTGGCTGATTTTTTAAGGTAATCAGATACAAACACTTTGAAGTCTCGGTAAACCTTGGTTAATTTTTCGCCGACTATGTCAAATCCGACTAAATGTTTGAATCGGTTCAGTTCTCTGTCTAAATTAATCTCAAAGGATCTTTCTTCTGTAGGTGCATAGAATATTATTTCCTTCTGGAGAAAGTTTTGCAGTAAATCGAATCTTTGTGCTTCCTCATTGTATTGAGTCGCTAATCTGTTATGCCGCTTGATTAGTCTGTTGAATTTTATTTCCAGCTGATACATGTCATCACCATCAAACATACCCGCACAGTTTTGTCTTATTAAAAGATTGTATTCTTCTCTTAATTTGGTTATTTCGATAGACTTGTCTAATGCGTCTGCGTAATCTTTCACAAAAACTTTAATGAATCTGTACAATTGCTTATTTACAATTTCATACTGTTTTTTCACAGATTCTTTTTTTTGTTGCGACGTTTCAGATTTTTCAGTTTCTAATGCATCTAAGTATCCATCACGCAGGGCTTGAAATTGTTGCCGAATGTACTGAAGCCTTTTTTTCAGATTTTCCATGTAACGCACAAACGAATCAGTGCTATCATGGATATCGATTTCTTCACATTTATTTTTATTTGCATCACCTGAGATTGACGATGAATTAATCATTTTTCGGTTTTATTATTAGTTATTTATATGGAAAGTGTTTACTAATAAAAGATACAATAAAAAAAAATTATTTTACAACATATCAGTAGATTCGAATATCAAAATTTGGAACCAAATGACGGAGAAAAATGATTTTCAATTTAATAAGTAAATTTTAAGTTTTTAGTAGATTTTTTTAAAATCTCATTGTTGCGTTTGGTCTCAGAGAGGAAATTACTGAAAATATTGTCATGTTGTGCTTGAGGGAGTAAATTAGGTTCAAGAACTAGTATTCGTTTAATAGCTTACGTATGTATACAGTGCCGACAGAAAGTTTCCGGACAAGATGAAAATTTATTGAAACGATTATTAGAAGTAAAATAAATCAAGAAGAAAGTCAATGATACGATCGTACACACTTTGTAAAATAACATAGCATTTTCTTTACAGATCAACTTAATGTGTTTATGTATTATATTAAAATTAAAAAGTAAACAAGAAGCTTGTCCGGAAACTTTCTGTCGGTAGTGTATGTGGTAGTTCGTCTCCGATATGCTGATGAATGGCGTGAACATTACGTGCCTCTTACAAGTGCTTTTTCTCGAATCCGTTTCAGTCATTTTTTTCCGTGACTCCTTCTATAGCCTCTCTCACTCTCACAACATTTTTCGGGTACATCATAGTACAGTGGAATCGCACTATACTTGACTTCCATAGTTTACAAGTTTACAAGATAAGTATTGACATCATCAAGTACATGATTACTTTTGTTACTTAGAGACATTTTCGTTATTTATCTTATAAAAGTAAACTAATTAAAATTTTTTTGATACTTCAATAGTCAGTTTCAATATAAAGCATAATTTTTTTTTTAATTTTTTAATGCTATAATACCTACAAAGAATTTTGTAAAAAAGAATCAATTTCATTTTATTGTTTTACAATACATAATATTTATAATATTTCATATTCGGTTTATTCTTCTACGGGGGATTCCGTAGACGTTTTCATATTGTATTTTGAATAGTATCTATCACGCTTATCATCAAAGTCCCTTTTGAGTTCATCTAATTTTTGATTGTATTCATTGAATATGAGTAAAGAGACATTTGAACCTTTTTGTTTTAATTCGAATACTTTTGACAAGAATTCGATCTTGTGTTTGACGAAACGCCTAAATGCATCTCCAATTTCCTGTCTTTCAATTTCTCTAGCTGATTCAACCTGATTTTTTAATTGACTCAGTACTTTTTCATACATGAAGAGGACTATTTGAGTTTCATTAACATCATCTGTAAGAAACGTTAATTCGTTAACTGTGGATTCACTATAGTTTGGCATCCACTTAGAAAACAAGTTGTCCATTAAATAATACAGGTAATAATAACATAATTCCGTAATCTGTTTTCGTTTCGTCAAATATTCACGCTTTATTTCCATCATTCGAGGGTTATTTATCAACAAAACCTCATCCAACGACTTAAAATTATTCTTGGTAAATGTATCATCTAATTGCTTCACTTGACGGAAAATTTTCAGAATTTCGTCAATTTTGTTTAATCTGAATCGTCTAATCGGTATTAAATACAAAAACTGATCACAAAACTCTTCAAAATTTTCTTGTTGTATAAAACTATCTTCGTCCATATTTTCAAATATATTCCAAATCATCGTAGCATTATGTAGCAAACGGTTAATGCGCTCAGCGGAGTGATCACCAATGATTACTACGTTTGTTCGTAAATCTTCGGCAGTAATCGATGACTCCAGTGGTACGAGGTAAGACATACGTTTTTTCGGTCTTTTGGCCTCAGCTTCGTCATTAGTTCCATCATTGTTACCGATTCGCCGTTTACTTCTTCCTTGATTCGTATTCGAATCTATCGGTTCAGTATCCATCGATTCAATTGTAGGTTCGTCGTTAGGGGTCAATTCAATGATATTTAGGGCAGAGATTTCTTTGAGCTTACTATGGTTGAGCTCATTCATTTTTGCGACGAGCTCTTCGACAAATCTAATGTTCAGCTGGTTGTAAAGATGTCCTGAAAGGTCAATACCAAGCAAATTCATAAATTCATCAATTTCATGTTTTAACAAAATTTTGTACGTTTTTCCAGATAGTGATGTATAAATAATAACTCCATCCTTTAAATTCTGTTGCAAAAGATAGAAATTATTCATTTTTTCACGATAGTCTCTGACTATTTCATTGAATTGCTTGATTACTTTCTTTATTTTTGCCATCAGTTGGATCAATTTTGACAGCTCAGGTTTCTCAGAGCGCTGTTGTAAAAACTTGGTGTACTGACTGCTAACAATTTTGAGCTCATAGACGATGGTTGATCTTATGGTGAAATAATCTGTGGTTAATGCTTTCGTGAATTTGTCGACAGATTCAATTAATCTGTTGTATAGACTATCGGCTTTTCGGAGAGATTCAAAGGGCACTGTTAATTTTTTTTCACTTTCTACATTTTGTAGGTAATTAGTGTACATGATTTTTAACCCTTCTTTAAACTGTTCAATAGTCACTTTTACTGAATCGACAAATCGATTGATTGACTCGATGCTTTCATCGATTGATTGTTCCCTTAACGCGGAAGGTGAAGTTGTATTAGGTTCACTCATTTTTACCAACTATTCTTTTACTATATAAAGTGACAACTTTATAAAAATTTTTATTTCTTTACTTCACTCATAACAATCATACTTTCGAGTTTCGAATTGTAAGAAATTTCAAGAATTTTCGATGATAACAAAAAAAATTACTAATTGTCCGATATCATTTCTATGGAATTGTACTTTATTATCTTCCTTCACTTTTAACATCTCTAACTTTTATTTATTGATTTAAAATGATCTAATTTCTCCTTTGTCCCCCATTCATCTTTATTCTGTGTCGTGTGAAGATCGACTTCGACTCGGAGTTTTAAGTATAACCAAATCATCTCTCCGAGTTTTAAATCGATTTATGTGCAGTTTTTCTGGAGAATTTGATGTAAGAGTTTTATTTCTACCCCGAGACATCCGGGATACTTTGAATTCTCCATTCGATGACTGTCACGGCTTCAAGCCGTTAAAAACATCTTTTAAGTGAATGGATGCTAGAGGTGTTAACGATCCATGAGTTGGTAGATCCAGCGGACTAGCAAGGTTTCCATTTGAGATGTACCTGTTATGGTGACGCGCGTTAATATCCCCGACAAAATATCCCCACGACAAAATATCCCCGCGTTTTTGTTGGTTTAATTTTGAATAAACACACAAACACACTAAAAAAATAATGTTGAGATTAATTTTCAAATTATTATTGATGAATTTTTATATTTTTAAGAATTTTTAAGAATTTTGTCCGGGGATATTTTGTCGCGGGGATATTTTGTCCGGGGATATTAACGCACGTTACCACCTGTTATATGACTAATTGATATAGTTGATTAGCTTCGAATGTATCTTCATGATTTTTTAATTTTTTTTTCTAATTGAGCTTATCGCTTTTTAATTCACTCGATTAAGTAGCTTAATCGTTCTTGAGTATTTTTTATAAAACCGCTCAAGTATTTAATCGTTATTTTGAATAATTTTTCAATTTTATGGTGTATTAGAAATTGATATTTTTCGTTGTATTCATCGTTATTAACCGATTGATTTCTAGTCAAAATTTTAAGTGTGGAAACCTTATCTAAATAGTTTTTAAGCTCCTTCCTAAATTTTTCTTTAAATTTGTTGACTTTTATTTATACCACGTTAATAAATAATATAAATGGTTCAAATACTTAATGAATATTAACGTCAGTTTGCTTTTGACTATTAGTCGTTTTATTATTGCCCTGATTCATACTATCAATAAAAAATACTGGAAGCGCGTTAACTGCAATAAAACGTAAAGAAATAAAAAATGTACTTAACGACTAATGCTTAAATTATCAATTTTCGATATTTAAAGGATACTAATCTAATCATTACCTAACACATCATTGTCTTGGAGCTTTTGTCACTTATTTTAATTGTCATTATCTCTTAGTGATAATGTGTATGACTACGTGACTTATTAAGGAGCTCTTAGATGTAACTTTGCAGACATATTGATTAGAAATTTAACAATCCGCCATCTACTCACATGACAATCTCTTTGGAGGCCAAAACCTATTCGATGTCGTTTTTTACTTATGGATCTTATTACAGATACTTTTAGGAGGTTGAAATTCCTAGTCTCATGCAAGCATTACAAGAGAAAAGCCAGATTAAACCTCAAAAATTGCGAAAAAAAATTGAAAACTTTATTTTTAATTTATTTTTATAGTTAGCGGAAATTAGGTGTGAGTAAGGTATCAAATTTCCGAAATTGGAGTTAGAGCTACAAAAAATGAAAAAATTAATATCAAATTTTATTTTTCTTTTTAGTTATTTTAACTATCAACTATATGTATATATTTTTTTTCTCGGGAAACTGAAATTATGACACATTTCGAACAAAATTTGTTTGATAAAATTACAATATTGTTATTGTAATATTTTGTTAAACAAATCGCCGATAGATGTTTAATAGATTACAAAAAGTATTTTGTAGTTTTTTAAAACAAAGAAATTGAAAAATGTTTTGTAAAATTACAGCAACTGATTTATCTAACCATTAAACTATTTTAATAATATACAATTCCAACGCATTTTTTTTTTAATTACCATAGAAATTTTTAACAGCGTAGGAGAAAATTTTGAAAAATATAAATCTTCCAAGTTATTCAATATTGCAAAACTTACTCTTCAAGTACGTATCATTAAAATAATTTAGTTTCGCATCGTAAGTCTGCGTAACTTCTTTTAAATTATACCGACTAACATCACCTTCAATGATGAGCAATAATCTTTCAAAAGGTCTCCTAGCGTTATCTTGCTCGAAAAATTTTAACGTTCCACGGATAATTTTATCTTTCACATGAACGATATTTCTCAACACAAGACTAATGTCTTGTTGATATAATTTTACAAAAAGCTCCTCCAAATCATTAGTCGGTTCATTTCTTCCTTTAATTTCGGTAATCGCATTGTTTAATAAGTGTAATAATCTTTCTCCAAAATAATTTAGAACAGAATATAAATCGACATCTTTTACAGAATCTTTAAGTTTATCTATTCCATCAATTAGTCGCTCAATTTCTTCAGGCTTGTTAATCAACTGACTCTTAAAGAAGTAAAAGTAGGAGTTCAGCATTACGTAGATCTTCAAGTTCCCTTGCAAGTATTCAAGCTTAAGAGCCCTGACATTCTCGATACTTGCATCCAGATTCAAAATACAATCCAATAAGTCTCCTACATTGTCTTTGTCCTTGACAACTTCAAATTCTATTTCCCTCATACGAGCCTGAAGGTCTTTGTACATTGACTCAATATTAGATAAGTCAGTAATGGTAGTTGATCTAGAATATGATTGTGTGCAGAGAAACTTTTTGTAATGCTTGTTCTCCCATGACATTGCAGTACCAACATCAATTTCTATCCACTTTTTTGCAGCTAGCTTAAGCAACTCACTGATCTCATCGATAGATTTCATTTTATTATTAAACACGTTGTCAAATCGTAAGTCTTCTGGTAGTATATTCAAAATAAACTTTGGTATGCTAAGAACCAGCACTCTCCGATCATCTTTTTTGTTATATGTATTTGCGGAATCAAGGGATTTTTGTTTATCATTGATGCTAGAAAAATCAATAGGATCAGTGCCCACGTTTATCTCTGGTCTCTGTCTTGGTGATGGAGCGGCCTGCTCCCGTCCATAATCTAGCAACTTTTGTTGGACAGGTCCGGGAGTGTTTTTCCACATTTGCAATTGGGTAACGGGCATCAATGTGCTGCTATTACTAATATGCTGAAGGTTTTTCTTGAACTTACTGGTAAATGTCTGGTATACATTAGCACGACTGGTTGAATTTACTGAAAGATCCATGTCAATCAGTCGTTGAAATTCCGCTAGCTCATCGATTGAAAATACGAATTTCTTCCCTGTCAACGATGTAAAAAGAAGTAAATCATTGCTCAAGTTTTCCTTTAGCGTAATGAATTCGATAATCACTGCGTTGTATGCTGAGACGAACTTGTTGTGATCGAAAATCACGCTGTCAAACCACTTATTCAATTGATGCAATTGATTAAACTCTAAGTGACCTTGATGGTCAGCAAATTTCTTGGCCAAAATGTCATATTCAGCCCTCAGTGAATTTACTTTAGAAGCAATATCCGTAACTTTGGCGATGTCGTAGTCAAATGCTTTTGAGAAATTATACAGACTCTTCATTGTGGCGCCGTATATTCGAGTGATTTTACGAAATGACGGAAATAGATTCCGAGAATATTCATGATTGGTAGTTCTATTTAGTTTCGTATAATCCTTACCTTCAGGTCTAGCTCCGGTGGGTTTTTCAAAATAAGTATTCAAGTATTTGTTGTATTTTTCTTTGATATCGCTTCGGAACTTGCGAATTGCAGTCTTAATTAAATTCACAAATGATATTAATGACATGATACTCTCATGAATATCAATGTCAGTCTTACGAACAATCGATGGTTTAGTCAATGTCATTCTATGAACTCTTCTAATATTAGTAGTAATTTTTTAAATAATTATATTGTATTGAAGCTGTGACAGGGAAAATCGAACTTCCCGGGGTCATTTTCGACCCCAATAATTGACGCACGGTAGGTAAGGGCTTTCCCTTACCGTTCGATTTTTTTTGACAAGAATTTCGACTTGTCACCGGGCGTGCAAATCACAGGTTCCTACTACTGTCCCCGAAAAACGAAGCGGGGTGTAACTATGGGAAAGTTCGAGAGCCCGAGTTCGGGGTTATAAAAGAGCATGCACGAAAATGATCGAGGCTTTTTCCTCTGGAAGCCAGTGGCCTGTTGCCTTTTGTAAATCAGTGACCTTTTTTTAAGACCAGTTTAAATTAGACAGTGCAGTCTTGGTAATTGAGAAGCAACTACGGAGGTGTTTATCATGGTGTTTGGAATTGGACAAGCCCTGATCGGGGGCCAGCATCGTGGGTTGAGACGACAAGACGCCAAACAGCTGAGCCAGCCAAGTTGGACCGGAGTATCAATCGTCGTTAGTTAAACAAAAGTTGAGTTACCAGGTATTGCACGCCTCATAAGCGAAGCGTTGAGGTTGTGCTCTACTCTCGACATTTCGAAAAAAGCAGTTTTCTCGAAACTGAAATTGATTTTTTGTTATTTATATCGCACTTACAGGTTAAAATGAGTACACTTATGTCAAGTCAAATAATTTTTCAGGCACATAAAATATACTTCTATAACAATTTTTTTGTTTAACATAATAAATAATAACATTAAACATAATCTTTTTTGGACGTCCGTGTATGAATGGGTGTATGTGGCAGGGAAATTGGTCGAAAAAATAATCGTACCGGAATAATTTTTTTTTAATTATCTAAAGTAACACACGACAGAATTTCTTAGTTAATATGAGCGTTCAATTCACTGTCGTTAAATTATTATTTATAAAAAACTAATATATGACTGTGGATTTTTTTTTATTTCTATCTATACATTTTATTATAGTATTTTTTTTCCTCACCTTGCAGTTATGGCGCCACTAAACCATAGCAGTGTTTTCTGTTTTTTATTATTTTGCTTTTTATATTTTATTTTAATCAATTTTATTTTAAAAAATGAGATTATGAGGCGTGCACTTTTGGATTTTCCAAACTTTTTTTGATTATTTTAGGCCAGAATTGATTAATTATTTAATTAAGAGGCTGAAATAATTAAAGTTAATTTCTCAAGCGGTCATTGTTACATTAGCAAGTTTAGTACTTTAGAAATTTATGCGTCAAGGTCATTTAGTTTGTTTTCGTTACTGGATATTTATCTTTAGAGAATGAAATTAATAGATTATTTGTGAATTTACCGTAGATAATTGAATCAGTAATTTATTATAGGCCTGTTGGCTATAATAAATTAATTTAGTTAATAATTTCAAGATATAAAGAAAAGTGAATTTGTATAGTAAAGGAAAATGCGTAATTAAGTCAGTGAAGGTCATTCTAGTATGTTCTATAGTTGAAAATTCTGTATTGAGACGCTAAGATATTAACAGTTGATGTTTAGAATTTTGTTTAGAAAAGATTTAATTTAGTAAATTTTGTAACGAGTTCAGTAGAATTTATTAATTGAAAATATTAGCAGAAAATTTAGTAAGTGAACTAGTACAGAAATTTAGTGATTATTTAATGTAGTTGAATTTATTTGCAGTAAATCAGTGTTGAAGTGAAATTAAGTAGATTATGATAATATTGTAAGTTTTGGAAAGTTTAATTTAGGCCGGTGGATAATGTAATTGAATGGTTAATTTAGAAAAGGTGCATAATGAATTTATTAAGAAATTGTTTGAATTTAAAGATAATTTATTAGAAAATTTCGATAAGGTAATTCGGTGAATTTAGTAAATTTAGTAAATCTGAAAATTGGATTTTATTTATGAATAATTGTTGAGAGGTTATTTAAGAAGATTTAAGAAATGAGTTTAGATAATAAGAAATTTATGAGTAATTAAATTTAGTAAAACAGAATATGTGAAGAGTTTTGTTGAAGAATTGTGAATTATGATAGGATTAAAATTTGGAATTTTAGTTCAGTAGTGATTTAGATAAATGAATAAGAATTAAGAATGAATATGAATTTGGAAGCTTTTTATGAAATTTGGGAATTTTATATTGTCAGTTATTCCGCCAAATAACGAGGGTTTTAAGTAATTAAGGAATAGAAGATAGACGCCTAATGGTCTATATTTGAGTTAAAATTTAAGAATCTAGATGCGTAATGGTCTATGATTAAATTTGGAATTAAAGATAGATGCGTAATGGTCTATAATAGAGTTTAGGAACTAAGAAGATAGATGCGTAATGATCTATGGTGAAAAGAATTCAAGGATATTTAGTTTATAAGGATTTTTGGCAAGTGCCTGTTGAAAAAGCGTTTCTCGGAAATTTATAATTGGATTTGGACTGTGAAACAGTTGGTTATTTGTAATATTTTAAGATTTATTTATTGTTCAATAAAATTGATTAACGAGAGAAAATTGTCCTCAGTATTTATTTTCAGCCTATCTCAACTTCTCACGACCCGACTTTCCTGCTCGTGCTCTTCCGGTTTTTGGGACACCGCGAAAATAATCCCAGTGGCGCCCTTTTCATAAGGAAAGGGGTGACCAATTGAACAGGGTTAACCACTCCGTTACAAAGCATTTATATCAATAATTCTGTAATAAATAGACGCACGAAAAATCAGAGAATTATTGGGTTGTTTTATTAACTTTGAGCGAGAATTATAATTCTTCAATCAAGATATGTTCTGCCGGATGAATCTTGTGTACATAGTTCAAAGCTCTAATCAATTTGATTCAAGAGGCCGATATTTCAATTCAAGATTACGTTGACTTCTTTGAAGTTTTGTGCAATGAGTTGGTACATAAGTTACTTTTATCAAGAAATCTACGATTCTCTTGTTTCAAGTCTATATATGTAGTCTTCTTTCTGCGCACTAAAACACATTACTTTATGCAGATACTATATAAGTTACTCAGGGCACGAAAACTTGTGGCATTATCTCGAGCTAGTATATACTGTTATTGGCTCAAAACAGAGTCGTTTATACTGCTTGAGATTAATTAACTGTTGCAGTAATAATTTAATAATTTTAATGGAAGTTAATATTTGTTGGTTTAATTAACTAATATTTTGAAATAAGCTCAAATATTTTAACCCAAACCTATAATTATTCGCACCACAATGAAAAGAATCTTGAATTCATATCACAAAAGAAATATATCTTCAAAAAAAATTAGGAAGACGGTTGACTCTAAAAGCCATCCCTGCAACTTCCCGCCAAGTCCATACCTAAACGCTGAACCCGTCAGCACTCACGTGAAATTTTCGGTAATCTTTACTCTCGTGATGAGAGATTTGCTCATATCACGTTTAATCTGCATGCGGCCGGGCAGCTATACAGTTACGAAGATACACGAACTAGCCCGAACGTTACCGAAAGTAAATTTTTTTTTGTTACACCTATAATCTCATGATGAGAAGAATGCTTACAATTTTCAACGCGAATGGGAAAAATATTTTAACTTTCCGCTAAGAAAATTGAAAATTTTCAAAAATCGGGAAGTTATTGTTTTTACCCCGTTTTTCGAAAATCGAGTTTTCATCAGATCTCGACGTTTTGAGGTGACAGGAAGCTTTCCTGACTACCACCGCGATGTTGTCACTATGTATGTATGTATGTATGTATGTAGGCCTCTCATAACTTTTGAACGGCTTGACCGATTTGATCGCGGTTGGTGCCATTCGAAAGGGCTTCGCCAAACTTAGATTTCCTGAGTCAAAATCGGTTGATTCGTTCGTGAGTTATCGTTGACGAAAGAAATCGAAAAAAAGTGTTTTTTTCGAATTACACTGAAACTTTCGGTCTTATCAATTTGTGTTTGAAAATGTATCATAGAATTTGAAAAACTGTGTCGAATGCCGCGAACCGCGTGAAAATCGGTTCATTCATTCAAAAGTTATTGCGGTTTGAAAATTCAAAAAATAGTGTTTTATTAAACTTCTATCAGACTTTTGAGCTCGGAGAGCTCAAAACTACACGAAAACTATATTTTTGAGCTCGTCGAGCTCAAATACGTAATAGGTGCAATGTTGAGCGCTTAATTACGAAAGCAGCGGGAAGTTGCAGGGATGGCCTTCAGGGTCAACCGTTTTCCTAATTTTTTTTTTTTCTAAAATATATATAATAAAGCATTTCAAAAGTTCATAATTTGAAAATAGGTAAAATTACTCGAAGGTAGAAAAAATTTCATCTACCCTTTCCATTTGAAAAGAAAAAGTTTTCATTGTTTTAAATCGAGCGTGAGCAAAATGTTCATAACGTGAGTGCTGACGGGTTAAAATTCCACTGATTTTGTTTTTGCGTTTTTCGAGCACAAAAACATAATTTTTGTGTTATTTTGGGCTCGCCGAGCTCAAAAAGATAGCTATTCTATGCTTTTGAGCTCTTCGAGCTCAAAAGTCTGATGAGACTTTTAGATATAATACCATTTTTGGAATTTTCAAACTACGATAACTATTGAATGGATCAACCGATTTTCACGTAGTTGGTGGCGATCGAGGTTAATTTTTAAGTTCTATCAAAAATTTGCAATGATGAAAATTTATCGGATGAAAAAATTCGGAGTTGTTTTGAAAAAACACTTTTTTCGAAATTTTTGTTTTCGTTATCCCACGAACGTATCAACCGATTTTGACGGGACTGGCGGCAATAGACGTGGTTTTTCAAGTTTAAGAATGGATTAGTTTTTTTATAAAAAAAAAAAAATTCTTACAGGCTCAATCAGCGATGTTAGCACCATACAAAATCCCTTCATCCTGTTCAAAAATTTGATTTTCTTCACTCGAAAATCTAGGTACATAAATCTCGTAAAATGATTTAGTAAAAAACAAAAAATAATTTTTTCATAAGTTACAAACCAGAATGATCTCTTAACAGCAAACTGTAAAAATTATTCTTGCCGTAAAAATTTTCTACCCAGTTCTTAACTTCCCGCTAAGAAAAATTGAAAATTTTTTTGTATGTAATAAAGGAAATTTATCGGCTTCAAATTTTCTCGAATTAGAACATGACTATCACAAAATGATTTGAACTACAGAACAATTGAAAAATCATAAGATGTCACAACATCAAAATTAACCGTTAAAAAAAATTAGTCTCCTTTTAAATGTAAAAAATTAATCAAGTTCTAGTAATCAATATAAAAAAAAAAATCTTAAAATGATGGGAAAAGTTTGTTACATATATTATTAATTAATTATTTATCTACATTTGTATGACTAAGTTACTAACCTTTTTCAGCGAGAATGTATTTCAATAAACGTCGGCCAAGCTGGCGTCCAAATTGGGTCCAAGTGCTGGGAACTGTATTGTTTGGAGCATAAGATAAACCAAGATGGCCAGATGAGTTCCGAGCGGACTGCTTTCAACGACATTGATAACATCGAGACCTTTTTTGCTCAGACGACTCAGGACAAATATGTCCCCCGAGCGATAATGTGCGACCTTGAGCCCACTGTGATCGACGAGTTCCGTAATTCAGAGTATCAAAAGTTGTTCCACCCAGAGCAGCTGATTTGTGGGAAGGAAGATGCTGCGAACAATTTTGCTCGAGGTTACTATACCGTTGGACATAAATTGCTTGACAGTCTCACCGAAAAAATTCGTGTGCTTGCGGAAAATTGCAATGGACTGATGGGATTTCTGATCTGTCACTCCGTGGGCGGAGGTTAGAGTCACAATTAGTTAGAGAATTAATATTTCGTAGTAAAACCATTTTTATATCATCAGACTTACACTTAATTTATTAAATTTATCACTCACAGGCACTGGTTCAGGCTTCAGTTCACTGCTGATGGAACATCTCTGCTATACTTTTCCCAAAAAAACCAAACTCGAGTTCGTGATCTATCCATCGCCTAATATGAGCACTGCTGTAGTGGAGCCATACAACGCGGTTCTATCGACCCATTTGTCGCTTAATGAAAATATTTGCGCATTCATGTTTGATAACGAAGCGCTCTATGATGTTTGCAGGCAGAAATTGGATTTAGACCGCCCGAAATATTCTAACTTGAACCGATTGATCAGTCAGGTAATTCATAATTTGACATATTCTCTCAATTTCAAAAGTAGCAGTGACACGGAAAAAATTAAAAAATCGATGACCTTTATTAAAATAAATGTCAGTGAGTTAGGATTTTCTACAATATTATTTAATTTAAAAATTATAAATAAATCGATAGAGCTGGAATTTCGAATATATCTTCACTTAAGACTTCTGTTTCTTGAAAATATAATCAAAACATTACTTATTAAATTATTATGAAAACGTGAAACTCGCTAATAGATATGTGTGAAGAGTCGGCATATAGTTTTGCATAATATAACATGTCGTGTAATGTTTTTAGCACGAGCAAAAGGACACCTGACTCATACAAAAAATATCTCCTATAAAATAAAATTGATGATAAAGGGAAGTTACTTTAGTACTAGGAATACACATTGCGCGCGCTCTAATCATGATCCAAGAGGAAATCAGGGGCCACTTTTTCTATAAGTATCGATATAATTTTGATACAAAACTAACTCCACTTTAGTCATCAATTTCATATTATAGAATCGAAATTATATCAACCCCAAGCTTCACAAAAAAAAGTTGACTTTTGATAGATTTCACTCAACAAGAAGTCAAAAAATTAATAATCGTCAACTTAAATTCAACAAAACATTAACAAAAAAAATTTATGCCGTTTGGGATACTAATCGTAGAAGTGGTCTCTGATTCTTAATTGGCTCAGGATTACAGCGCGCACAATTTGAATTCCTAGTTGTGTTGGAAAGATTGTTCCGCACATTATTTTATTCAATAAAATATTTATTGGAGCTAAGTCTTGTTATGAGTAAACTCGACGCAACAAATATTCGGCACTTGAGGTAGTTGTCCTGCTGAGGGCATAGCGTTAGAAAACTCTAAATTTTTGTATAATCACCCTGATTAAAAAAAAGTATTGAAAAGTATTGAAAAAGTATTGAATTACACACACTGTATATCTGTATATACATACAATATAGATATACAGTTGTATAGGTTCAATACTTTTTTTTAATCAGGGCATTAAAGGTATTAAGATACAATTATCATTGAAAGTTGAAGTCATTTGACCGCCTTAAATTCAAGTAATTTATAATCAAAGTTCAGATTAATTTACATTGCAACCAATGAGAAGTATGCGTTCTGAATAACGTTCGCGATTTTAATAAAAAAAACTAACAGTCAGAAATTTTTGAAAAACTATGAGGATATTTACTAACTATTTCTAAATTAAAAGAAACAAAAAAGGAAAAAAGGTATTCACCGCTCTATTATTAAGATATAGCAACTGAAAGTCAAACAATAAATTAAAAAATATACCAGTTAGTGAATTGGCTAGAACCAATCTGACAACACACTGTAAGCGAGTATAGATAGTATTATTCGAGCGGAAAATTTGAATACATATTCAGCAGACTACACAGCAACTGGTAGAGCATACGCGACGTTGTCGAATTTTGATTTCAAGAATATATTCAACAGTATGGGTGCATACGTACACATGAATTGTGTGTAGGTAATCTTTTCTCCTATACACTCATACAGCAATCTTTTTCAAGACTTTAACAAGTCTGGTCTCAATTTCGATAGTTGTTAGTGTCTTTTTCTACCTATGGGTCTTGCTCCAGATACTTGTAGCAAGTTTAATTGACAAGTCTTGAACAAACCTTGTACAAGAAATTTGGGCCAGATTATAACTCAAGAATTGTGTCAAAAAATGAAGAAAATCTGAAGATGCTTATCGATAAACTAACCATATCAATTCTTAAGAAAGACTGACACCAAAAGCATGCTGAATATATACTTGTGCAAGAAATGCTCAAGATCAAATGTTTTCGAATGAACGTTCACATCATTCTTCCTCTCCTATATTTACTATACGATCAGTGCATCTCATTCAGCTTAACCTTTAAGAGTATAGACCTACTGTTTTATCGATCAAGACAAAATTATTTTAAAATGAGCACCACTGAATCAATACATCTTCAAATAGTGTAGTGGAGGGGAAAAAGTACTATCCCATAATAATTCCTATAATAAAATTGAGATGAAATGTATGTGAAACCAATCTATTCGTGATGTGATTGGTCAAATATATCATATGCAAGAAAATATATGCAAACTCTATAGTCAAGGCGTGCGCTTACACGCGCAAATTTGAATTCTAGTAAAATATATAATGCATCATGCATCTTGAGCAAGTCTTGAGTAAGTCACGCGCGCTTCAATATTTTCTGTTAGTTTTTGGTTCACACCCATATAGCAATCTTTTACAAGGCTTGAGCAAATCTGGTCTCAATTTCGATAGTTGTTAGTGTCTTTTTCTACCTATGGGTCTTGCTCCAGATACTTGTAGCAAATTCAATTTACAAGCTTTGTACAAGATCTTTGGGCCAGATTATAGCTCAAGTCTTGAGAAAGACTGACACCAGAAGCATGCTAAATATACTTGTGCAAGAGTTGCTTAAGATTTGTTCAAGATAAAATGTTTTCGAATGAACGTTCGCATCATTCTACCCCTCCTATATTTTGTATAGAATCAGTGGATTTCTGAGAATTATGGATCTTGAGCAAATCTTGAGCAACTCATGGGTAAGTCTTTGTTGTGAGTTTCTGGTACAAAAAATGCGTCAGAAAGTTTTTCAATGCACCTTGCTTTAGACTTGTCTCATATTCTTCCACAAGATGTCTTGAGCTAGCTATATAAAATCTTGAACCATGACTTTTTAAATAAATTTGAGCAAGACCCATATGTAGAAAAAGACACTAGCAACTAGGAGTTTTGCTCAAGACGCTGGCACCAAAATCTTGCTCAAGCACATGTTACTTGGGCAAATGCTTTAGAAATGAACTAATTACTGAGAATTACAGATTTTAAGCAAATCTTGAGCAAGTCATGGGTAAGTGTCTGTTGTGAGTTTCTGATTCAAAAAATGCGTCAGAAAGTTTTCAATGCACCTTGCATAAGACTTATCTTATATTCTTGCACAAGATATATTGAGCTAGTTAATATATAAATCTTGAAGCAGTTCTTTCTAGATGAACTTGAGCAAGAACCATGTGTAGAAAAAGACACTAGCAACTAGGGGTTTTGCTTAAGACACTGGCACCTAAATCTTGCTCAAAAGTACATGTTACCTGAGGCAGTATCAAACAAAAATAATGTCCCACTTTTATTACAAGCTAACCTACTCCTACCGCGAATATAATCCATAACTTTTTGACAATATTGTAGTAGGACAACTATCTTAAAATATAATGACCTCGCGATTCGTCAAAATTTGAAAAATTGTTAGATCTTTATTACATTATATTGATGTATATTGTAGAAATTTTCGGTGCATCATTTTATGAATAATTTGTTACCAGTCGAAAACAGCCATTGAGAGTTCAGATCTAAGCACATGATATAATTTGATAACCGCGTATGTCTTAGATAAAATGTTTTTATCGTTATTTCTCATATCTGCACATCTACTACACAAACTAAAAACATCAATCATGTCACATTATAAATATTTTCAGGTCGTTTCATCAATAACAGCAAGTTTAAGATTCGACGGATCATTGAACGTTGATTTATCCGAATTTCAAACAAATTTGGTACCATTTCCACGGATTCATTTTCCAGTGTGTGCTTACTCTCCCGTGGCAAGTACAGCAAAAGTCGACCACAACGCAATGACGATTGCAGAATTGACCTCCGAATGTTTCGACAAATCGAATTCTCTGGTGAAGTACAATCCACAGCACGGCAAGTACATGGCTTGCTGCTTGTTGTATCGTGGTGATGTTGTTCCTAAGGACGTCAACAATGCAATTGCCTGCATTAAGCAGAAACGTACGATAAATTTCGTTGATTGGTGTCCAACTGGATTCAAAGTGGGAATCAATTATCAAGCACCCACGGCAATTACCAACGGTGACACAGCATCTATTGAACGTGCAGTAGCGATGTTAAGCAACACTACGGCAATTCGTGAAGTGTGGGCACGTTTAAATCGGCGATTCAATCTGATGTATCGCAAAAGCGCTTTTTTGCACTGGTATCAAAGCGAAGGGATGGAAATGATGGAGTTTGCTGAAGCTCGGGATGATTTGGCGGCCCTGGAACTTGATTATAAAGAAATTAACAGCAATACCGACCAAGATACTTCCTACGAATTTTGATAATTATTTTTTAATATTTATTTGCCCACAAAAATTTATTATTTTTATTTAATTTTTTGCTTTACAATCAAATATTTTTACTATGTGATAATAATTTTTATATAATATATATTTTGTATAGATAAATCACAAATAGATTTTCAACATTTTTAATAAGGTACGTGATACATTATTAATAATTCATTATTATTTTATAATAATAATTATTAACATGAAGTGTATGCTTAAATTTTTTAAAGCTAGAATAGATATACTTAAAGCTTCAAGTATTTCAATCAATTAAGAAGACTTTGAAGTGGTCAAAATTGGTGTAATACACTGAGAGAAAAAATTTCTTTTGAAAAAAATGAGCAATGTTGAAATAAGAAATTAATTTATTGAAAATTTTATTTCTAAGCTGAAAAAATTAAAATTTTCTTACAGTAACTTTCTTATTGAAAAAAATTTTTTTTGATTTGACACAAAACAATTTTTGATAGACAACTTGCGAATTTTTATCCAAAATATTTTTTTCCTAAATCTAGAAAACTTTTTTTCAACAAGAAAGTTACTGTGAAAAAAATATTTATTTCTTCAGCTAAGAAATACAATTTTTAATAAATTAATTTTTTATTTCAACATTGCTCATTTTTTTCAAAAGAAATTTTGTCTCTCAGTAATGTAGTAGGAAAAATATTAATGATATAACGAGCTTACACACATAAAAAAAAAGACTTAATTCAAGAAAAATATGTTTTTTAAAATTTCGCTACGCCTCCGATATTTAATTTTCTCAATCCAAAAAGTGTCTTGGGTCTTTAAAATAATTTTTTTTGTAAAAACATTTTCTTGAATCAAGATAGTTTTTCTATTAGAATAGTTCTCTTAAACATCTAAGTGCTCTGATATTTCTAAAGTGTTTGAAGTTGCCTGCAAAACGAAAAAAATGATTAATAAAGTCATAAGACATCAAAAAATTCGAACTCGAAAAAAAAATTAACGGATTAGTCTTCTTATTTAATTGTTAAAATACTCTTCGAGAAAAAATCAATCTATAATTTCTCAAGCTAGGTACAGCATTAGTTTGGCTTTTGCTTATAATTTTTCTTTCTTCTTTTGTAATGAATCCACCAAACAATTTGGCGTTTTTGAAAGACACTGGGGTACAGTTTTATTTATATTATTTTTTCGTAATTTTTTTTAATTAATTCACACTGAGAAAAACAATAATTCAATTTTCAATTTTTCATGGATTGAACATTTTAAAATGAGTCTTCCTGAAAATTTAATTTACACACGAAAATTGAAATAATTGTAAGTCGTCTTAGGAATAAACAGTTTTGTCATTCTCAGTTTTTAGTAATGATATTTTATGATTATGTTTGAAAATTGAAATATTTTTTTAGAGCTAAAAAAAATTTCTCTAAACACAAAAATTTGAATTCTTCAAAATTGAATACGCGTAATCATTCCAAATTTTTGGAAATCAAATGCTTACAAATTAGATAATTCTGAAAATCTTAAATAGTGCCTACATGTAACGAGAAAATGAATTATATAATTATGAATATATTCATAGAAAAATTGTATCCAACAACAGCAAAATAAATCTTTCTCAGTGTGCAGTGCAGACTTGATTAACAATACTTTTTATTTTTTGACACTTCATCATTATTGCATCATATTATATATATTTTATATATATCCGTATAATATAATAAACAATTTAATTTATTTATTAATCTGTGGCACTTTGCTTTATTAAAACAATTTCAAGTCAAAGTATAGAGAAGAATGTTTATAAGTTTTAAAGATCAAAGATTCGAAAAAGACGTCGCTGAATTAACGACCGAAAAGTTTAAAAGAGAAAATAGAGTAAAGCCAGTTTTAATAAATTAGATTGTTGATAAATCTTTTAGCCTTTTGGTTTTTAAAAAAAATTTTTAAAAAAAAGTATAAAAAAAATTTTTTACTTAATTAATTTAATGATATTTAAGATTATTTGTTATTTCATAATACTGTGTCAAGAGTGTCAAGACTCTGAAGTAACTGCTCGTCCTTTGAGCACCACTGCACTAGTTCTTCGATTGTTACAACGCCATCTTTGTTGGCGTCCATTAACTATAAGCAAAACGTTATTATCAAATTATCGCTTTGCGATCAAATTATTGATTATTGCTGAAAACTTACATGGAAAATTCGCTCGACATGTTCTTTAGCTGCTGCATGTGGCTCCAAAATTTGAGGCTGAGTATAGCGGCCCAGCATTTCGTAGATGGATTCAACGACATCTAGCATTTCTTCTTTGCTGATCAGTCCATCACCGTCGAGGTCGTAGAGTCCGAATACCCATTGAAGCTTCTCTTCAACTGATCCACGAGATACTTTTGATAGTATCGTCAAAAATTCCTGAATTTAATAATTTATTTTAATATTATGACGAAGTCGAAAGATAGTATTGGATCTTGATTCAAGAAAAATACACGGAAACAAAAAAATAGCTCTCAGAGCAATACTAGATTGCTATAGAAGTAATCCCCTTAGTTGAACTTAACATCATACACGAAGATTATTGCCAAATTTGGAGTTTGTAGAAGTTATAACTATATATACAGCTTGGAAATTGAAATTAAAATTCTAACACCCACCCCCGCAATCCCTATCGGAAGTAGAATTTATTGAAATCCATTGTAAGATGATCTCTGCATGACAAATAAAAGATTTCTACCAAATTTAGAGTCTGTAGGAGCTATAGCTTGGAAATTGAAATTTTTAATTGTTAACACCTATCCCCGAAATCCTTATTGGGGATGGGTTATCATAAAATCCGCTCTTAGATCATTTCTACATCATATATAGAAGATTCGTACCTAATTTGGAATCCGTAGGAGCTACAGCTTGAAAATTTTTAATTTTCGTTGTTAACACTCACCCCCGCAATCCATATCATCATCATCATTATTGAGCTATGGAATTTCCAAACCAATGATGTTAATTAGATAAATGACATATTCGGTTTTTTTCCTACTAATTACTTCAATAATGATACTATGATAAGTTAATAAGACAACAAAAAAAAGAACTATTTATCGAATTTAAAATGATCTAAAAGATTAATTTTTTTTATAAGGTATTTAACGGAGTGTTTTATTATATTGAGCTTTAGTTCTTAGATTCAACAGGCATCAGCAATTAATAAATAAATAAAAATGTTTAAAATATTTTTGTTATCGCTAATTTTGTCAGCAAGCCTGTCTTTGTCATTTTCAACAATTGATTCTAATTTTGAAGAAAAAAAAGATTTATACGAATTAAAATTGAATAAATATGACTCTGATGTGGTTAAATTTAGCGAAGATGGCTGGGAAAAATTAGTCGCTGAAGAATGAACCAAAGGGGCCACCAGTAGAGGCAATTTGTATGTCAATTGTGCGCGAGTTCAAGTTATAGGCAATGAAAGAAGATACACTATACTTGTTAAATATTTTACTGATTTGCCCGATGACTCGTTATATTGTACAATATTTATTAGGACGAATTGACCACACCCTTTATTTATAATTTGCTACAAAGGATTGCATAGAGTGAGTATAAGATCAAATCAAAGGACTCTGCCATAAGAAGGACAATCGCTCGGATAGCTTAACTACAATGTCAAAATTTTCCGTTAAAATTTACTATGGGGGCATATTAAGACCGGACTTTAATAGCATTGTCCAGAATTTCACCATAAATTAATATATGATAATGTTCAAATAAAAATATATACCCCTTCGCTCTGCAGAACCAAAAAGGTGTCTTTAAAATTTTTTTCTTTTAAACAACTTGGGAATGTAAAAAAGTAAAAATCTTGTTAAAAAACGCAAAAAAGCTATTTAAATCAATGATTGTTACCTCCACGGGTTCTCTAACTTGTCATTTGTCATTAATGAATCATAATTATAATTACATTTGTTGGTCTGTTTCAGCACAACCGGGACCCATCAGAATAAGAACCATTTGATATGTATTACTACTTCTACGGTGACGATCAATTTTGTCCCAAAATTTTCGGGTGACTCTAGTTTGTTTTGTAAAAGGAAGGATTGTAAGAAATTTATTAAAATTGTTGAATGAAATTCTAAATTATTCTTTTAGTAATTTTAGTTTTTACCTTAAAGAGTAATATAGCTTCATTTTTTATTTTTTTTAGTGTAAATAACACCGGCACACAAATAAAAAAAAATTGTCTGTACTTTGGATCAGACCCACCTCCCGACATATATATCGACCCGTTAAATCCGAATCTGAAATCAGTTTTGCCCGTACACCCTCAAAATTTTAAGAAAAATGTAAAAAACTCAAAAAAAGGCAAAAAATTGCGAAAAACTGCAATCACAGCGATGAAAAAATTTTTGTGGACTCGGATCAAGTATGATTTTTATGTATTTCAATTTATTGAATCTGAATCTGAACGTTAATTACCCCATGGAGCCGTCAAAATTTGAAAAAATTGCGAAAAACCCAAAAAAAATTGCAATAAATCATGAAAAATCGAAATTATGGAGATGAAAAAATTTTTTTGGATTCAGATTGAGTATGATTTTCATGTATTTTGTTCCAATGAATTTGAATCTGAAATCTTGTCCAATTAACGTTTTAAAATTTTAAAAAAAATCTCAAAAAATCGGGAAAATTTCAGTTATAAATATGAGAAAAAATCTATTAAACACGATTGTTAATGACTTGGGTGCATTTTCATGGATAGAATATGATTTTAGAATTGAAAAATTGGTATTTTGAAAGCTGTAAAAAATAGCATGTAAGGCGAAGGTACGAAACCATATTTTCGAATTACAGACTGTCTTTCGTTTGTATCGAATTTTTTTATCTTCAAATGATCTACGCAGTGGGTTCCTTTTACGTTTTCTGTTTTCTTCTGGTATTTCTCTTGTTAGCATCCAACAAAAATCTAACATCATTTCGACATTCTAATTTACTCGATACCTATCCTCCATTTCACTTATGGAATTTTGATGAAATCGTTTTCCTTGTTCTTCACTATAGTCTCCGAGATTTTCAGGAAAGTGGTCGACGTGAGAATTCATAACGTGTAATTTGAGGTTCATTGAGCGACCTAAATTTTTGTAATTTGTCACCAATTTTTCTATTAACGTCCTGGAGTTGTAACGCTTCTTTTAGGTCAACAATTCACAAAATATCCCTGCTATTTATGTTTGTGGGATAGCAGAGATAGAAAAAATTACTATGTGAAGAAAGAATGGCTGACAAGAGCCAAACTTTTGTATGTGGGGTTTTATTAGGTGACTGAATAAAGTTTTTGAATGGTGCCTCGGATAGTTTAAGTGGAAAAGCCATTGACTAATAACCAAAAGGAAGAAACCGGGTTCGATTCCTGGATTATCTTCCCTTTTCCTTTATCCCTTCTTCTCGCCTTTCTCTAATTTTTCGTAACGACAAATCACCATATTAAATATGAATAAAAATTATCTTTCTTTTTAATTTAGGTGATGGAAAAAATTCGACTTTACCGATCGTAGTTATTACTTTGCTATTTAGGAAATATTACTACATCGACTTTTCAATATTACTACATCAGTAACATCATATTTTTTCTTGAAATGTAAAAGACTATGTGCAAGGTGAAATAGTACAATTCTTTAAAAGAATTTACGATGTTGCATCGTATAAATTCGTATATTTGAGCTCTGGTCCGGCACTACAATGTCATATACTAAAAATTACGATGTTTTATATAGTGTAACGTGGTAAATTTTTATTCGACGCCCAATACTTGGGGTATTATAATATTCCAGGCTCGAATCCAACGTCGTGAATGTTATGTGTGAATGAATGAAAATTGTACTAATTTTTATGAATTTATTTTGTGTAAAATGCGTAACGCTGGACGAGTAACGAAGACAGAGCGAGTCACAGTGGGTACGAGGCTATGCATTGGAGCGACAAGGATGGAGCTACGACGTAAACAAGCTAGTACCGAAGCGAGTACCGAAGTGAAGAGGCACCGAGCGGCGTAAACACCCGAGAGGCCTGGATACCGATCGACGCTGCAGTGCCGCTATTTTCCAATACGACGATCAACATCGATGACAGTTGGTTAGTCAGTATTGCAGGAGCAGAGGTGACTAAAAACTGTTGTGAAGGTCCGTTGACTGTTATACGGACCTAGATCAACTATCGACGGGGGTCAATTCCAATGGAAATGAAGACTAGCGCTGCCAACTTCAACGAAGGAAGAAGTGGGTACTTCTCCATGAAGAAGAGGATTCGAGGCTGGACTGTCGACGGAAACGGACGCGCTTTTGCGTGCTCCGCAAACTTAAATTAATTTCGAAGTATTGTCGCGAGTTGTTAATTTGAAATTAATTGTAATTTGTATTGAGTATTTATTTTCTAAATTTATGATTTATTTGAGTCGACCGCTCGAAGCTTTCCAAGCTGCTAAGATGAGGACGACGCTCAATTTCTTGGTAAGCCGACGTTCTTGTTCAGTGTTGAATCCAGCGTTTAGAGTCCACGTTGGAATTTTGTAAAATATTTTGAGTAACGAAATAATACGCGAGGATTCAACGCTTTACGATTATTTTTTTTGTAATGCTGTTATTACATGGAGTGATTGCTGAGGTATGAATGTGAGAGTAAGAATTGAATGAGATAACGACGTTTATTAATTTAATTTTGTTAAAATTGAGTGCAAATTTAAGTTACGACGTTTAATAATTTTTGTTAAAAATTAATATCGACCGCCGACGTATATTTTGTTAAATAAATTGTTAATTTTTTTTAATTCTTCCGAATTTATTTCAAGTAATTTTAAGCCTTTCGTTTATTTTGCTATCCATTTTTTTTTTTAATGACGAGTATTTCAGCATGGCCCGCCGCCCTGAAGAAGAGGTAATAGCTAGCCGAAGTCGAAGCAGTAATTAGTTGGAGATCATTCTCCTGGCGCCCTTTTATTAATGATAAATTTTTTTTTTAAGTAAGCCAAATAATAAATAAACGGTGAGCCTGGCTTGGTAAATCCCCGGGTCAGGCGAAATCCCGTTATAATAGCAATCTTGAATATCTTTTTCTTTCCTTGTACGTGGATTTATATCATTTTATATTTGCAATATAAACAAAATAGAGACATTTTTATTTTAAAAAATTGCTTGATTTTGGTAAAGCGAGAGTAGAGCACTACCTCTATGTAGCTTCGCACTATGAGGCGTGCAATTAAAATGGCTCCAAAAAATAGATTAAATTTTCGATTTTAGGCTTACTGAAGGAAATTCAGAGATTTTCAAAGAAAGAAGTGCAGCTGCTGAACATTTTTAAAATTTACTTGATAATACAAGTGAAGATGATGCTAACGATGTTGTATTAAGCAATAATATTTTATTAAATTGGCGTTTGACTTATGATTACAACGGAAAAAGTGTTGCCAGAAAACTTTTTAAGGATTTTGTCGATGAATCGAGTGAAGACGACAACAACTTAAAACTCTGCTAACACCTTTAATTTGTATTATAGGTATAGTACTATTACTATATAGCTATATAGCTATAGTATTATTACTAGTAATCCACGTGAAGATCATAATAACGATGTCGCTCGTACTAGTGCCTACGTGGTTGCTTATATAGTTAGTTATGTTGCCAGAAGGATGGAGAGATTCTCTCGGTGTGATAATTAATTATCAAGTTTAGAATCTGATACTTCCTTTGATAAAGACAGAATGATTGATTTAATGAGTGAACATTGCATATACTCAAGTGAAAATATATATTCTCTTATCAAGCAATTAGATAAATATTGTTTTAACCGTTTTTAGGACTAAAACTGTAAAATTATATACCATAAATGATATTATAGATGAAATTGCCAAGGAAAAATTACTACCTTTCGTTCCAAAGATTTTGAGATATTTGTTCTGGTAAGAGCATAGTGTCAGAAAATTCTAAATTTTTGTATAATCATTGAGGGTATTTAGATACAATCAGAAGATATTCATTATTTATTTCTAAATTGAAAGAAACAAAAAAGGAAAAAACGTATTTACCATTTTATTATTGAGATTTAGTAACTGAAAGTCCAACAATAAATGAAAAAATGTACCAGTAAGTGAATTGGCTCGGACCAATCTGACAACACTATAAGCGAGTATAGATAGTATTATTCGAGCGGAAAATTTGATCAAATATTCAGCACACTACACAGTAACTGGTAGAACATACGCGACGTTGTCAAATTTTAATTTAAGAATATGTTCATCAGTATGAATGCATATGTATATATGAGTTGTATGTACACGGAGAGAATTTAATGATGAATACAACTATCCGAGTATGGTAAAAACAGCTACTTAGTATGAATGATTGCAAAAACTATCCAAATTGTTAACTTAACCAACCAGATAGTTACATTTACCATCTGGATAATAATTATTACCATCTGGCTGGTAACTTAAAGATGGTAAACTTAATCATAATATATGTTAACCGCTAAAATCATGTTGATTGTAAATTCTACAATCATGATGGTAATTATTACCATCGCAGCTAGTAATATGATTAGTCAATACGTGACTACTGTATATTATATATATTTATAATATATATAATATAAATATAATAAAGAGGCGCGCAGTAGCCTATCGGATCCGGCCCTTGCTACCAAAGCATTGGACCGGGTTCGAATCCGGTGTACACCAATGAATATTTTCAATATTTAAGTGTATATTATTCTGCTCAGCCCAAGAAATACAAACGAGTTCCAATCTCAAAAGTGTACCCCCTACCGTAGTCGCTCATGACCTTAGTAGTTTATGCGACTTTAAACAAATTAAAAAAAAAAAAAAAATATATAAAATATATGAAAAATTGATGTGGGTACTCAAATGAAAGGTCTCGATGAGTGTAGTTTTGGGATGAGCTTATATCTTTAAAAATGTCAATAGTTAACAAGATAAAAGGTCATATTTCTTAATTATATGTCTAGAAATGGAGCATTTTCGAATGCAGCCTAAATACTCATCACGATAAAATGACTATCGATGAGAATGATGTGAAACCTTGAAAAGGCGGAAATTCAAGTCAAGACCTTTGCAATCCACTCTTATAATTTAGATGAAAAATATGAAAATATATCATGTAAGAGCAAACTATTCGTAACGTGATTGGTAAAATATATCATAAGCATGAAAATATAGATAATTCCATACAAACATTCACACGCGCGCTTGCGTGCGCAACCTATACTAGTGACACTAAATTTCACAAAAAAAAACCGATTTTATCAGATGACTATCCTGGAGACAAAATTTTTGTTATTCTTTTAATAATATAGATATACTTTTTTCAATACTCACTCTTATGTCAAACATTAGAATGTTATTATATTCTGACTCTAAAATCGAAAAAGTTTAGTTTTTTATACTTCCTTTTTTTTTTTTTTATGATTGCAATCATGATGATTTTAACTATCTCCGATGATAAAAGTCACCATCTAGATGATAAACCGTATCATCATAATTGTGGGAATTAATATATACTGATTGTACTAATTACAATCGCCGGATAGTTGCATTTATCATCTTAACTTTGTAAAAGTTAATAACCATCCTGGATAGTAGAAGCTACAAAATAGGGATGGTTACCGTTAATATAAAATTCTCTCCGTGTAATTATATTTCATTTTTCATTTCAATACATTAAATCAATACACTATTCTACTATTTGATAATTATGAGTTCATCATAAAAATGAGAGATGTTAACTACTAACTTAGTCTTTAAATTTGAATAAAGATATATTTTTTATTCGTGGAAATCAAACAATGAGTAATTATTTACGTACTGCCGTGACGCAGTGATTACGTTATTTATCAATAAAATTTCTTTTTACAAAAAATTTCAATAATTGTTATACTCAAAATATCTTTTATACAATCTATTCAGCAAAATACATTGGATAAAATCATAATCTTTGCTAATCATGATGATTGCTTAACTACAAAGTGAAATGGTTACTGTCTAGACACAGTAATGTAAAAAATTAATAAAACTCTTGATTTCACAAATTTTTTATCAATTAATAAGGCTATTAATTTCTATATATAGCTAGTATAAAGTAAAGTTTTAGTAAATATCCAAGATATTTCTTCCTCTTTCAAACGATATGGTATTATTGTTGAAGCTCAGTGAGAATTAATTGATTCTTTGATAATAAATTTATTTTCAAAACTAAAAAATATCGATAGATTTATTTTTTTTTCCAAGTAATAGGATTACTGTCTGGGCTCAGTACAAGAAAAATTAGTATAAGTTACTAATAATAAAAAATATTGATAATTTTTTCCTTCTCTGATAAGTAGTAAGGTTATTGTCTGAACGCAGTAAAAAAATAATTATTTGATGGGATTGATTTCTCTACTATAAAATTTTTCTTAAGTTTCGGAGCTTGTTATTATCTCTTATAATTAATATAAATTTATATAAATTATAAGAGATAATAACAAGCTATATTTATATATAAGGGTGAATAATGATATTAAAACTATCGATGCATATTTCTTCCATTTCCAAGTGACACGGTTACTGCCTGGACTTCTTAATAAAAACAAAATTAGAAAAACGGTTGACCCTGAAGGCTTCCCTGCAACTTTCCGCTAATTCCATTAGGCGCTTAAAATTGCACTTATAACGTTTTTGAGCTCTTCGAGCTCAAAAATACAATTTATGTGTTATTTTGAGCTCTCCGAGCTCAAAAAGATAGCTTTGCTATGCTTTTGAGCTCTTCGAGCTCAAAAGTCTTATCAAAATTCGATGAAACACGATTTTTCTAATTTTCAAACTGCTGTAACTTTTTAATAAATCAACCGATTTTCACGCGGTAGGCGGCGATCGATGTGATTTATTAAGCTCTATAAAAAATTTAGAACAAAAATATTGATCTGATGAGAAAAATTTCGCAGTTATTACAAAAAAACACTTTTTTCGATTTTTTTCGACAACGATATCTCACGAACGCATCAACCGATTCTGACGCTCTATGTGGCGATCGATGCGGGTTTTCAAGGTTAAGAGCTGATTAGTTTTTGAGACATATCGGTTCAGTCAATTCAGAGATATTTAAAAAAAATAAAAAAAAACAACTTTTTTTTTCACTTTTTTTGCATTTTCTCAAAATCTACCGGTCCGAATCGGTTCAAATTTTCAGGAAATCTAAGTTTAGTGAAGCCCTTTCGAATGACACCAACCGCGAGGAAATCGGTCAAGTCGTTCAAAAGTTACAAGAGG